ATATATCCTCTAAACAGGAAGTTATGAGGCTCACATTCTGGTAGGCAAATTACAAAGCTCTGCTATTTGTTTATTTATAGTACGTATGACAAAGCAAGGATGGAGACAAAAACACTAAATGTGGCAGGAAGTGAGTGAGTAAGACTTACTTTCATTTTTGGTGATGCAGCTGTAGAGCGAGTTCTAGAAGGAGAACAAGAAGCTGTGGTGACTCTACTGCAGCAGAAACATGTTACTGGATTCAAGTCTCTGAACCACTCTTTGTTCTGATTCCACGTACGAGGATTTCCCACCACACGACTGCTCCACCACTGAATGACCTTTGACCCTTGACTAAAAAAACCTATATTTGTGCTTTAGTGATTGATTACATGTCATTCAAACATTGGAACAGATGTGAGGAAACTGTGATTCTGACCAAGAAAACACTTGAATAATAATACCAACAACAGTGTGGAAACATTAGTAACTTCCATGTGAGCGTACACATTTGCATCGACACATTGATACTGTTGTAAATCTGTAAAGGGAGCAGTCGAAGGAGGAAGAGACAGAAACAAACATGAGGACATTTACAAGTCTGACAACTAGCTTCAATAAGCGCTGTAAGCATTAACAGCAACAATCCATCTGTGAGTGACACAGAAACTCAGAGCTAAGAACTTCATCTGTGTCTGACAGTGTGCCACTACCAAATGCTGTTGGACTTACCTCGGTGGTTTTCTTGCATACTTTTGTTATATCATTTTTTGAAGATGCCTACATGGGGAAAAGAAATGCGATCAGTGACATCATCCCTAACAGGACAGCAGCTCACTCTCCAGGATGGACTCTCCACAGCATCTCACCTGTTTGCATTCCTTGCGACACTCTGTCGTGATGGCCAGCTCACAGCAGCCCAGCCCCACCCAGCCTTCTGATTTCCTCGATACTCCTGCAAGCAAATCAAACACCAGAGAATCAGCTCTTTAACTATCACACTTTGTGACACTGATTTATTTACTGCTACTGTGAATTATGAAAACAGATTCATATTTACTTATTCTGAGAGTTTCATATTCAAACTAGAGCAGCGATAACACCACGGAGGTGGTTTCATGGTGAAGCAGAGCGAG